TATGTCGGATCTTTTAAAAACCGTTTTTACTCCGGCAATAAAAACGGATTTTTGCTAAAGTAAAACCGGGTTTTTTGTATTGATCCGTTTTTTATCCGGAAAATATTCCGGATAAAAAACGGATTAATACAAAAAACCAGATTTTTGCCTGATATGTTCGAAAATTTTTTTTTACAGGGAAATTCAGTCACTTGACATTTTTCGAATTTTAAACTATTGGCGTTATCATAAACTTGGCCATTTTTGTTCGATTTCTATAATTGGGGAGAACTCTAGGACGATGAAATTCTGCGCAATAAAACACCCGTAAAAATTTTAATTAACGTTAAAGCTTGTTTTATCATTTGGGTTAAGGTTAGAGTTAGGACTGGAATCAGGATTGTATGTAAAATTGCCTTCCCGACATTTTTTATTTCATTTTCTTGTGCCAGATTTGTTTTGCCGAGCTGATCAAAAATCTGCGCACCCTTATCGTTGTGGTTTGTGCCTCCAAGTACTCCACCCATAGGTAACCCCCTTCACCAATGAAATTATGAATACAAATAAGTTCTGTGATCAACTTAATTTGCAATTGAGTACATTATTCGGAAGAATATTTTAACATGGATGAGCGTCGGTGACGTTTCATTTGAGGTAAAAATACAGTGAAATTCGATATTATATACAATCTGGTTTGAATCTCAATCCGCTATGTCAGTGTATTGAATATCCGCTACATTGAGTATTGGTTTAAGGATAATTTAATTAATTCATCTTTATTTAACATCGAAAATCTAGTAGTAATCTCAGAAAGACAAATATAAAATATCGGGCCGAAAATGACGCCAGAGATCATGATCCACAAGACAAAAGTTGTCGATGAAGATTACAAGTTGTTCGATATTTTGACGCTAGCATTGAGGAGGGCAGCAATCACTATGAAACTAATCCTGCAGACATCAGTAACCGATATTATCGTAAAAACACTGAAACGGCCATTAGTCACAGAAAAACATTGAGGAAGAACAAGAGGTAAATTATTGTTATTGTTATTGTTATTTTGATTAATATGAATAGATACAGCCTTTTCTTATTTTCTCAAGTGAATGAATCGACCTTTATGAAAGAGGATAAATAATAATAGCACAGTCAAACTTCAATAGGCCGAACTGATCGGTCTATTAGTAGAAAATTTGAAAAATTCGGTTTATCGAGGGGGATTTACTAGAACTGTTCCTGCTGTTTAACTGTATGTATAGTAATTTATTCGGCTTTGTTGTTGTCGCTGTCGCTATCATTGTGATTGCGGTCGATTTCGTTGATGTTAATGATATGATTATCATCATTTAGATTGTAGTTATAATTGTTGTGGTAGTCGTTGTTTTTAATGATACTGTTGAAATAATCGTTGTTAATCAAACTATTGAAATCGACATCAGTGTTACTATTGATTTGGTTTCGATTGTAATTGATTTTATTGCTGTCACCAGTAGAAAGATTATTTGTGAAAAATAGATCTGATGCATTATTTCTATGATTTTTGACAAGTTTAGAAATTGCAAGATCTTTCGAATAAATTATAAGGTCTTTAGCAGCTAATGCTTTTCCCATTACTTTAATATAATCATTTAAATATTTCTCGGTCTTCTGGTTAATTTCGAGTAAATTTTTGTTATTATTTTCTCTAATCTCTAATTTTTGTTTGAGATCCGACAATTCTTTATTAAGACTTAGTATTTTTGCTTTTAATGTTTTGATTTGTACTCTTTGAGCCCTGGCTGAAATAAATGTATAATAGAAAATATTAGGATAAATTATAAATTGAATTTGAATTGATTATATGGAGAAAAAACAGCATACATGTTATAGCAGCCTCTATGTTAGACGGTGGTTTTCTCGATGATGATGCCATAATGTATAATCTTTTAAAGAAAAAGAGAAATATTTATAACAAAACATCCGATGAGAGAGCGTTTCTTTTTAATCTTTCTAATATCGTTTTTTTATCGTTTTTTGTCGTTTTTTGTCGTTTTTTGTTGATGCGAGTATATGCGTTGTGTAATCCTGCATTTTTAGCACAACATAATCGCATGCCTACAACTCCAGAATAAATGATTTAATTCATCACATGATTTCTTGCTTGATTCCGTAACTCGTCACATGAATAAAATTTATTTGTAAGTAAAATTATCTTAATTCAGGCCAAAACTATAATTATAATACAAAATATGAAACACACAAACCTCTTAAGAACTAAAAAAAATAATGAAATGTCTGACACCCAAGCTTTTTATACAAGTCAGTCTATTCTATTAAAATTGATACTTGTCATTTTGATATATGAATATGAAAATTTTGACGGAATTAACGGCGTCCGACCTGATAAGAAAAATAATAAAAAGCAAAAAGAAATTTTGCGACCTCAGCAGCGCCCGACTTATAAAAAAGAAAACCATTTTTGCAAAATTAGCGGCGCTCAACTTGTATTTATTGTTATGAAAGAAAACTGAAATGATGATTGGCGTTCTTTTATTGGTTTCAATTGTGTCGATCTATGTGTGATGAAAAGAGGGGGAACACTAAAGCGCATTTACTAATTCCCCCCCCCAAAGTTTTTATTGGACGCAAGTAATTTCCATCGCTGATTGGTTGACTGCACACCGGGTCTTCTAGATTAACCAATAAAATGCATAAATTTTTTATCAATCCGGCAAGACAAATCCGATCACAAGAAAATTAAAAATGAAATATACAGAAAACGAATGCTTAAAAAATGTTGGGGAAGCAATTTTACATATAACCTTGATCTCCACTCTAACCCTAACCCTAACGCTAAAATTAACCTTTAATATCCTCAACCAATCAGAACTTGGGGGAAATTAGTAAATTCCACTAAAGCAAGGTAGTGGATTAAGAATTAAGTCAACTCGGATAATCTTATAATTATCCGGATTGACTTAACACATTCAATGATTGGCTGAATTCTGCATAACATCATCGCTATCAAAACCCAGCAAAATTCTGGCCGGGCCCTCACCAACGAAAAGAAGCGCCGAATACTCACTAACAACACCACCGACGTGAAATCAAATTGGAAATTGATCACGACCTGGAGAAAATCGCAGCGAAACGAAGATGGCGGCCAAATTCTTAACAAATAACAGCTTACGCGACCGGTTTCGTACCGAGTTTCTTGAGTGTGAGTATTTGGCGTTTCTTTTTATTGGTGAGCGTCTAGTTTCTTCATTCGTTGGTGCCGTTGCAAATTTCGACTGGTTTCCGGTTTGGTCTCGCACCGGGTCTATATGGTATTGTTGAAAGTGAATATTTTTGCGTTTAGATCAACAAAATCGGGACAATATTGGTGGAGTTATTGGTATCCAAAGTCGGCGCATGAAAAATCGCAAAATGCCGGACGGTTCGTGAAGCAACAATATCTCGCCGATCTGTGTTTAGAATTTTGCGAACTCGGGTTCGTTTGATTCGTCTAAGCAAGACGAACATTCTTTGTATTCGGACCACAAAAATTGGTTGGATATTGTTGGCATTTTTCCGAGATCGCTGGTATTGGCTAGGGTTAGTAAGAGTTCCTCGGGTGTCCAGTTTCTCTGGTTGGTTTCGTCGCGACCAGATCCAGTGGGTTCTTTGATATTTCAGATGAAATGGGAATCTTTGGGTGGAAGTGGTCTTGAAAACAATGTCAACAACAATTTTAATTGGTCAGTTTATTTTTGCTGTCACTGTAAAATGTTTGCCAACTTTATGATTAGCACAATTAACAAAAATGGCCAAATTTTTGCTAACGCCAATAGTCAATCTCGATTCAACAATAGGTCGAGATATATATGTAAAAAATTGATGTCGTTAAAGTCGTCATTAAATCATTGAATTCACAAAAAAATCTGTCCTAATCTACATAGGTTTTTAGTGAGACGGTGATTTTGTGATTCAGCTGATGAATAAGTGTGAAATCAATCAGAATCCGTATGTAATAAGCTTTAATATCATCATACTAATGTTCGTTTGTGGATATTTTCGCGGGAGGCGAAATGTTATTTTACTAATAAGTGCTATATTCTTCGAGTTAACAATATTGTTCTTCTGATTTACTAGTTAAATCTAAAGTTACCTGGCAAAAACTATTTTAGCTAATTCAAAAGTCGAAGCTCTATTTTCGCCTAAGATACCCGGAGTGTTATACATTCCACGCATAGTAAAAAAAGAAACATATCATGAATACTTGATCGAGAAGGGGTTATCTTGGACAGTAAACAGAGGTGTACCAAAGAGGTGACACAATTAACACTAGCTACACAGCAATAAAAAGAGCGCCAATCATCCTTTCCGATTTCTCTCTTTCATACATAACTAATTTAGCAAATTTTTCAGAAGTCGGGCGCCGCTGAGTTCGCAAATTTCTTTTATTTTCTTATCAGGTCGGGCGCTGCTAATTTCGCAAAAATTTCTTCTATTAAAATTTTGCCACCGTTTACATAACGCAATTATATCAAGATAACAAGTATCATTTTAATAGAATGTCATTATATAAAATATTATAACGAGACTGACTTATATAAGAAATTTGATTTAATGTAACGACTTTTTTGAATGTCGGACATATTTTTTTAAAAAAATTTTATGTCCTTTACCGACATAACAGAATTGGGTATGTATGTTCCATGTTTTATATAATGATAGTTTTGGCCTGAATAATTTACTGACAATCCAGAAATCACGTGGTTAATTACAGAGTTTCATCAATCATTTGTTCTTCAGCTATTACTATGCGATTATGTTGTGCTAAAAATGAAGGATTGCACAACGCATATACTCGAATCAACAAAAACGACAAAAAACGATAAAAAAGCGATATTAAAAAAAAACAAAAGAAGCGCTCTCATCGGATGTTTTGTTATAAATATTTCCCTTTTTTCGTTTAAAAGATTATATATTATGGCATCATCATCGAGAAAACCACCGTCTAACATAGAGGCTGGCTGCTATAACATGTATGCTGTTTTTTCTTCATATAATTTATTCGATATAATTCTAATATCATCTTATTATATATATCAGCCAAGGCTCAAAGGGGACATTAAAAGCAACAATATTAAGTCTTAACAAAGAATTGTTGGATCTCAAAACGATAGCAAAAATTTACGCCAAACACTTAAGATCATATTAAAAAGCATTGACTGACAGAAATTACATAAATGAATGTGATTTTGCATCAGATATAATCTTCACAAATAATGACAACAATAAAAATTCAACAATAACACTGATGTCGATTTCAATAGTTTGATTAACTACGATGATTTCAACAACATCAATAACAATAACAACTACCACAATAATTATAACTATAATCTAAATGACAACCGTTATAATAATAATCATATCGTTAACATCAACGAAATCGACCACAATCGCAACGATAACAACAATGACCCTACACCATTATTATTCGTATTATTATTATTTATTTATTTATTTATTCACAAGAATAAAGGTCATCTAAGAAAAATAACAAAAATAATCATAAGACCGAAGTGTACATCATGTGATGTTATTTGTGGGCTCGGTAATGGTAATAAAACTCTAAAGTTACGTATCCCCAAAAATTATCACTCCCCTATATAGTCACACCCTCTCTACAATCACACCTTTTCCAGGAAGTTGTGATTATATGGAGATACAACTTTGTTTGAAAAAACGATTGTGAATTTTTTGCGCATTTGGGACTATCGAGATCATGTGACACAAAAACTCAAGATTAACGAAGGTTTGGTAACTAGGAACTTGTTTCTATATATATACTGCTCTATTTTTAGCATATTATCGTTATATTAAAAAAACCTATTAAATTTAGCCACACTTAAGGGAACACCAAAGCCAAATTATAACATTTATAGGTTAAACAGAAAATGATTAACTATCATCGAGGTAAATTATCGTTATCGTTATTTTTGTTAATATGACGGCAATCTCAACCTATTTTTCTTAGGTGAAAGGATAATAATAATAGTAGGTGTATGATAATTTATTCTTCGTCGTTATCATTGTAATTGTGGTCGTGGTCGATTTCGTTGATGTTAATGATGTGGTTATCATAGCGGTTGTCATTTAGATTGTAGTTATAATAATTATTGTGGTAGTCGTTATTGATGATACTGTTGAAATAATCGTCGTTAATCAAACTATTGAAATCGACATCAGTGTTATTATTGATTGTAATTGTTATTGTTGTTACCAGTAGAAAGATCATTTGTTAAAAATTGATCTGATGCAAAATCAGCAGCATTTCTATGATTTTTAACGAGTTCAGAGATCATATATTTCTTGTCAGTTAAGGTTTCTCTCATTACTTGGATATGATCTTTAAAGTGTTTGTTAATTTCGAGTAAATATTTGTTCTCACTTTCGCTAATCTCTAATTTTTGTTTGAGATCCGACAATTCATCCTTAAGACTTCATATTGTCGCTTTTAATGTCTTAACTTGTCCTCTTTGAAATATAATAAGAAAATATTAGGATTATATCGTTAAAATTATAAATTGAATTGATTATATGAAGAAAAAACAGCAATCATGCTATAGCAGCATTCGTGATAGACCGTGGCTTTCGTTTTCTCAATGATGATTCCATTTACACAAAATAATCTGCAAGCACTTGATTTTTTCAAAGAATTAAATAAAATATTCGAGACCAAAAATACTGCTTGCTGATTTTATAAAAAAAAGTATTTTCTATGTCTGTGTCCGATATGCAAATGTGAATGTCCGCATAGAACATATCGATATCTATTGTATCAGTACTCTTGATTATTGCGAAAGCTAACGATAAAGCACACAGGTTAAAGACACTTGAAACTTTTTTATTGGTTGATGTTTTTAATTTTTTTTAATTAATAAAATTCAATTTCGTTAACGCATATATATTCAACGATTCCTTATACAGTCAGACCTCCCTAAGTGCAAGTCATTGGGAGACATAAAAAAAATCAGACATAACGTGCATTTAGAGAAAAATTGCATTTACAGAGTGTAAAATACTTGAAGCTTCATATACTTGGGACTAAATCAGAGCGTGTATTTATGGAGGGTAAACATAGTGCGTGCATTTAGGAAGGTTGCATCTGACTGTATTCAAAGAGAATTAGTAACGGTAATGTATAATTTACAAATTGTGCTGTTAGTACAATGCAAGTGTTCTTGATATTTCACGTTTTGCAAAATGGCGTGTACAAATTGAAGTCATATTATTATTAATTAAAAAGTTTATAACTTTGACAATATAATTTGCAAAAAAAACCGAACTATAATATGAATGAATTCCTACTAGAAGATATTATAAATATATGTCAAGATATTATTATTTTATCGTTTAAAGATTGTGGTTGGGAATTACTTAACAATAACTCATTAAAGATGACATTGAATATATGTAAAAATTTAAGACATATATTTATTTATGGGCACCAAAAACAATCTTAAGTATATCACAAAAATGTGTAAATATAAAAACTATAAAAATACAAAATTGTGAACGAATAACAGATGAAATAATAGATCAGATAGCAAACAAATATCCAAAAATTATGATTAATGAAAAGAATATACCTACTAATTCATTTATCGATAAAAAGGCAAGCTGATAATAAAATTTAGTAATCTAACTTTCTATAACTTTATTATTTGCTAGTAAGAAGCATGATCCTTTAGGGTCGCCCTTTTGGGCCTGAGTATATATTTTTTATGTGTCTATGACACTAGCTCCGCTAAAACTCATATATGTCTGTGACACTAGCTCCGCTATTAAATAAATATTATATAAAACAAAATACAAAGTAAGTATAAAGTAAGTATGACAGACAATAGTTCAAGTTTAATAAATGAGCAGGACTCAGAGTTAATGATACAAGATATTACGTGGAAAATGATTGAATCAGCACAAATCAAAATAATAAAAGAGGCTTTTCGTCTTCGATATAGAAAAAATAGTAAACTTATTAGTGAATATGCAGGATATCGATATGTAAAAAATTTGCGTAATGCAGATAACCAAGATGAGTATATAAAATATACAGCAATAACGCTTTTTCCAAATAATGAAGCATATAATAGAAGAATGACAAGATATAGAAATTGGTTTCAAAGTAAAAAGGAACTACTTACCAGTATAGAAGATTTATTATGAGCTTTCCAAAAAGGATCGGCCTATGACTAAAACAGAAATTGAGAAAGCTATTGAAGATGTACTTATAGACGAGTAATTTAATATTGTTTAAGAATCCGTTTAGGTGGATACACAACTTTACCAACTTTCATCAATTGAGCTTAGAAGAATTTCAAATATTAATATAATTACTAAGATACTCCATTCTTAATTTTTTTACTGTATTACATGATTATTATGCACACCATCTTCAAATACAAATTTTTAAATACACGCTATATTGTGTATTAAAAAAAATACTATAATAAAGTTAATTGGCGAATTATGTTTCTTAAATGCATTGCAAAGATCAAAATAGTAAGAAAATTCCACATGTTCTAATTATTATTCTGATTTTCTAAGACCTCCTGTTGGATATAATACAAATCTATAACAAAATTAAGAACAGTAACTCCAGCAGGAACCACAGGAACATATCCAGCTACATTCGGAACTCCCCTGACAATCGGAGGGTTCCAGAATACATTATGTACTGGAATATTTATCTGATAATTGGGAAGACCTGGCCCAGCGCAAGCAGTGGCGAGACCATTGTGATAGCCTATTGTACCAAAGTCCCACTATAATATCAACATTTGCAAAATACATTAGCTTTAAGTGTGATTATTAATTATCAATGATTGGACAATCTTACCTCTTCTACAAATACGCCGAGTTGCCTGGCTACTGCTACTTGCCTGGGTGTTGGTACTGCCTGGCGTGACCAGAGCATAGCCTAATATTAAGAATATTAAAAAACATTTAGAAATTTTGAAAGTATTAAATAATAAATACGTACAATCATACACCGGTCAAATTGCCCAGTAGCAGTTCGTGTGACCTGTTTTCTATAAATTTTGATGCCCAATACGCACCTTACATACTCCTGGAGCATCCAACGCTCACACTTTGCCTTCAAGTCATCATAACTTTGTGACACAGCGATTTCACACATTATACGTGCATGAGGTCTTCCCTATATAATTATTCTATAGTAAGATTAAATAAGATTAGAAAAATAAATCTAATGCACACAGAACCTACCGCTTTATCAACAGGAGGAATCTCACGATGTCGCCGGGGAGATCTGGGACGGATTGTACGACCAAATCTATGTCGAGGTGGAGGTGGAACCGGAGCTGGAGTTGGTGGAATAATGTTTACATTTGGACGTATGGCGAGATCGGATGACGATAGGTTCCCTCCTCCACGTGGGCGATAATGGGCTGTTATAGGATACGAGAAGATTATAAAACTGATAACAATCAAATATTAAGCAACCCAAAGAATTTTTTCTTACCTGAATTAACACCAAATTTTATCGGAGCATTAGGACCAATACCTCCATTGGGAACAGTAAAAAAATGAATAAGTAGTGCAATAACTGATGTATGCTCGCTTCCTTCCACCTCGACTATAAATACGTTTCCCTTCGAATCAATGTCAAACTTATATCCAGGTGTTTCATGGCGTTCAAAGAAAGCGTCAATGGTTTCTACTGACAAATTCCAGCCTATCTGTAAAGGCAAACTATATACGAGTCAATGCTAGGTGAAACTTAATCCATCCGCGTGATATACACTTACTGCTTCTCTTTTAGACCCTTTTCTTCTACACTCCTAAAATTCCTTTCTAGGGATAGAAATTGACTAATCATTTTTGAAAACTTTGAAAAGAAAGATATGTTTTTAATTAATCAAATGATTAATCGTTTTTTTATTTAATCAGATCAATGTTATACAATCACAAGGTACGCAAGTATGATGCAATGTCGGCACTGATAAATTATTCCGAATAATAATCTCTTGATTTCCCAAGGAAAAGATATAATTGAACGGTACCAATTATGGAATAAGACCCAATTCTTGAAGTTTTTGAGGGATTACTGTGTGAGGATCTTCATAATACCATACTTTGATAAGTACTATCCAATTTTCATCGCAGAGTTCTTTTTTAGCTGATCACGTGCAAACTGCTTTTTGAATACCTCTTGATCTTTGTGGAAGAAAGCGTGAAAACGTTCATGTTGTATACCCTGGACTTCGATAGCAAAACCATATTGTGGATAGTATATATCAAGTTCAAGTCCTAATGGATGATCAGGTGTTTTTAAGAAAACTGGTCTACGAATATCAGAAGGTGAACCTAATAATTTTGTAACTACATTTTTACAAAGTTCTTCTCGTTTCCATGGACAAAAGGGGCACCATGTATCGGAATTTTTTACTTTATCCAGATTTGCATACCAAAGATGATTTTTAACACATTGCCATAAAAGAGGTGTAATCGAATTAATATATTTTTCAGAAATACAATCACCACCTTTTTTATTTGCTACTTTTTTAGCCAACTCAAGATTACAAGAATAACGACCTGAACAGTATGGGCACCATGTATCAAAATTTCTGACACATTTAAGATTTGTATACCACTGATGACCTTTATTACATTCCCATAAAAGTTTAGAATCTATATTAATATAATTTTCAGATAAACATTTTCCTCCTTTACGATATGCAATTTCTTTAGCAATATCAATATTAAGTTTTGCATTACCTAAACAGTGAGAGCACCATGTATTTCGATTTTTTATTATATTAAAAGATGCATACCAAATATGTTTTTGACGACATTCCCATAAAAGTTTAGAATCTATATTAATATATTTATCACCATTCAGATTTATACAGATTTACTGGTTAAGAGATTTATAGCAATTTCACTGTTCGCTTTATAGTGATTTATAACAACTATATTATAATAAAATATCGGATTCATTTTTATTCGATTACAAGCGTATCAGGATTTATATAGGGTCATATCTCGGGCTAAGCTAATTTTATATTTACATGCATATGTACGGCGACTGGCTAAATCGGTTTGTGGCATGACGTATATCATTTCACATGTATCACCCTAGATCCCTGCCAGTTCCACGACAGTTCCTCGATAGTTCTAGGAGTGTTCCAGGCGCTGGCGAGTTTCTATGCACAGCGCCTTCGGCTAAATCACGAGATGATCGGCCAATCAGATTTTGGACTTTTTCTTTAGCCGGATAAGCCTAAGGGGAATTCGGGAAAATGATTACGAATAAAATGCAAATATTGCGCAGAAGAATGGATTAATCATCTGGCGCGGTAGTCAGCAAATTCTTTTATTTGGTCTTATTGGAAGTTATGGCAATCCATTTATTTATATTAACGCAACTAGCCAGTAATTTTTTATATGAATGAGCTTAGTTAAAGAATTATCATGTAATTTTATTCACACATCACTTTTCCTGCACAAATTGGTCAAAGAAAAAAAAACAGAATGTGATGGTATTAATGACTATGAATCCTGATCCCACATTGAAAGTACCTTTTTAGGTGAAAAATGAACACCATTTGTTAAACGTTTACGACCTTTCTTTAACGCTTCATAGAATGCCATTGTATTCCTTCTAGTACGTGCCTTCCAAGATAAAATCACTTTTACGGCCATTATTAGATTTGAAAACCCTTCGACAGTCCGTGGGATTTCAACATCTTGCAAATCCATCATTATGACAGTATCTTCAAACAGATACTTTGATACAGAGATTGTTAGACGGAATCCATTTGATTGTAGGCTGTATGTTTCAATATTCGTGATACTGCTTTTAGCAGTTGAAGGTAACGAAAAAAACAGAGTTGTTAAAATGACCTTCGAACAATATTCTAGTTTTTGCAGATCGTCTTTCCTTTTACCCCGCGTGTTTAGGACACCGTCCTCCTGAACTAACATTTCAGTTCCCAAAGACTTGAGTAAGCCTTTTCCGTCTAGTTTCGGTTCACTACGGCCACCAATGTCCAGAAGTTCTTTTAACTTCCCATACGATCCAGATGCCAGTTCCCCATAGTTTAGCTTAAGGTCATTTTTGCCAAGAAATGCATTTCTCAATAATGGCGTCCAGATATATGAATTAAATTCTCCTTCGGACATAGTTTGAGTTAAGAAGTCATTTTTATATAAACAGAAAAAGTGGTAAAATAGGTTCTGCACATAGATGAGATCGTTTGACGCAGTAGAAATATTTATTTGATTTTCAACCAAACATTCTCCTAGAGTTTCCAAATCGTCTACTTCGTAAAACTTATCCAAATAATCCAGAACTTGCTCTTCACAATCTACAATGAATTTGTCGATTTTTTTTCCGTTAGCAAAATTGATGGCCTCACTATTCTTGTCCCGAAGTTGATTTGCGATGTGATTGTTGTAGTTGTTGGGTAAATATTTCGTACAATCGAGATTATGGAAATTAATGACGTTAATGTGAAGTGGACTCTTCGCCACTTCGGTTTTCTTCATTTTTCTCATATTTGAGTACGCAGAATCCAACATATTTACACCATTAAAAACAAGTTTTTCACCCGGCAGGACACTTATCTGATACATTTTTAAAACATCGTCTGCTATGTCCCGATTAATATATTTTCTTTGTTTTGGAAGATTGGTTATTTGGGCTGACGCTAAATCAGAGTTTTCTATATTTGTATCAGATTGTTGCGAAGCCTCCGAGATGTTTGTAAGGGAAGTTGAGGAGAATTCTTCGTCATTTGAATCACTATAAGCTATTTCCGTTTCCGTTTCGCTGGTAGTTCGAATCTGTGAGTACATTCAAAATGTGAGAAGACATTCTTATTGCGGTCTATACATTGGAAACATGATGGGAATGTGCTATCTTATCCTCAGGAGTTCGTGGCTGTTCATCTTCATCCCTCCTAAGCCTTTTTGATGGTGGTTGGAATTCACCCGGAGCCTCTTCTAAATTTTCCATTTGTGCTTCAGACGATGACTTATACAAATTTTCAACTCCCCGAATTTGAGATTCTCCCGATAACTTCATCAATCGAATACACCCTTCATCAAGCATATCTTTGACGGATTCCTAATATGATAACAGATAACATAAGAATTGTGTAAGAATCGCGAATAATTAAGTGGAGATTGCGAAAGAAGTAAATAAAATTCATATGTTCTTCCGGAGATTGGAAATCTCCAAGGAAACCTTCCCTCAGTGGTAGGAAACCAATATCAAGAGAAATGAGATTTTTCAGTATCTAGATGCTAGTTTCCTTAGAAGTAAAACGCGTAATAACTCTCATATCTTATCACACAAAAATAGGCTAAGTTGTTCGTTTTGAAAAAATAGTTTACTTCTTTCGCGAACCCACTTAAAGTTTTTTTCCAAAACTTGAGTATTTCAAGCAACAAACCTGAGCTCGCAGATTCATTATCGATGTCCAGAACGTTTGTAGGTATTTCACATTCCTAAATTCGAGTGTGACCTTTAAAGAAAAATGTAAGTACTGTATATTGTGGTTTCAATTCACTATAAGAAGCTTAAGGGCGCGAAGAAAAATGGGTCGCGTATAGTAGAACTAAGATTTCACTTATACTCTATCCGTGATTTACATGTTAAGAGTTGTTCATACTACCACTTGGGCTGGAATTTCACCCATACTTTGGATTCACGATTTACGTGTCAAAAGTTGCCCTTCTGCAAAAAAAACTATAACATGTTTACCCTTTTTACCACTTCATATTCCAAATTTTCTATCTCTTTTAGAAAGCGTTGGCTCCATGAACTGTGATTAGCATTCCAAGTCTTCGCGTACGACGGGAGCGTTTTGATAATTTCTTTGTTGAAGTTCAGGAAATGCAAGTAAGATATGTTTTCCGGAAGAGTATTAACGACATAGTCACGAAGAACTGTAAAGCAAAAAGTAATTAATATCTTACGCAAACCAATAAAAAAAAGTAGTTGAAGATTACCGGAATGACCAAGGAACTTTTCTGTAGACATTGAAAGAAAGAGATTTGCTTTGGCTCAAGAAGTGTGGGTATACTATATATGGGGATTCGATTGTCGCACACAATTTTAGTCACGTGCACGTTACAAATTAATTGTAACGCAGATCACTTTGCTTTATTAATGATTTTTCAGGTATATAGTGAATTAGAAAATGTTGGAGAAGCGAATGAAATATATGATACTGTCAAAGATGAAGGGAGTACATAGATCCTGGGCCATTTAATACGAGTCCCAGAATCAAGTTATTTCTTTGCTCTCGGTATGAAGAAGTGCTAGCAAAGTCCTAGATTTGTGTTATAATCGTTTGTGGTAAATTTGTTTTATTACTTCACACACCCACATGTAGGATACACTGTTAAACTATTCATTAATTAATAAAATGCTAAATGCTAAACCAAATAAAACATCGCAGTAGTCACGTGACAGCATGAAGAATCTTCACGATCAAAAATCACGTGAGCATTCAGGTCAAAATTCGAAATAAACGTTTCTTTGGGCATCCAATAAATACAAAAGTTCGGGTCTCTGCCCGTAATACATGAAGTTACTACGTCACTACGTCACTAGATTTCTATCCCATTAGCCTATCTATTCCTTCGCGAGATTACTCAATGACTTTACCTTTTCATTTCTCTCTATATGAAATACCATTTTTCTGCATCTGTTATAATCCTCATACATTATCCATATCGTACTCACGTTTGCTTTGTGTTTGTGAGATAGTAAAGATAATCTGTAAAACAAATGTAATATTCATTAATTTCAATTGTATAATAAAAAATAAATTCATTGATTAAAAAACACTAGGCGGAACCATTAAAAAATGAAAAGTACTTTTATTGTAAATTGGTTGGCCAAGCCGAAAAAGCTAAATGCTTGAATGTTCAGACATAATGAGAGTTTGACATATAAGATTTGTTATCCCTCCATTCGCTACAAATTTATCTATTATGTTCCTACTTATTAATTATGAGAAAAAAAAAGATCACATAGACTAAAAATTACTACTGAAGAGAAGAATGACATATACAGTATACAAATCTATCTAGAAAAGTATGACATATCATTGTACATACAACATAAAGACATAAAAAAGACATAATAAAACACTCAAGATGTTTCGCATATTCATGGCGTCCCAGGTTTTGGTAATTTTGATTTTATAAAGTTGATATCATCTTCATTAAAAGTTAAGAGCTGGTTTACAGGAAATGAACGAACAAATTGAATTCTAGATGGATCATCAATAAAAAGTTTAACCATTTTTCTAGCCTTTTTAATTTTATCCTTTGCCACGGCTAGAGAAGTGCCAGGTGGTAAATAATTCTGAACCTCTTTATTTAATATATATTGTGCTCTCTTCTGCCATTTCCCTATTAATTCATTGAGATGAAGGGTTAGTGCTAAGCCAAATTCGTAATAGCAATAGATGGTATTGGAATCGGTCTTGCTGACTCTTCGAGATAATTTTTGTAGAATTGTTGAGAGTTGATCCTGAGGGATTATTTCTGATGAATTACTATCAATTTTCATCATTTCAGTTGACACCTCATGTATAAAAGCTGACAATCTTTCTTCCCTACTCATATTTTTTCAATCGAGTTGTTCAAGCTGTTCGATAACATTGCTGTAGCACTCTGAACATCATTCTTTGCGGACTGAAGATACATTACAACAACTAATGTGAAAAGTATGACCACATTGGAACATCGCATGTGAGTTTATAATTTTCCTTTTGCAAGTCAAACAAGGTTCAGCTCTTTGAAAAGGTTCAGAGAAAAGATCAGGAATCACTCTATGGTCCAAACTCATTAGAAGCAATATGATTGATTCCCAGAACGTCATTAAGGTGAAAAAAGAATTTATGTTAGGGCTATTTATAATTATAGTGCCATGGTAAGGGTTGAATTGATAAGCTGAGCAAGAAATAAGATAGTATACTGTATTTATATGATAATTGTGAAGATTCTTTTCATTATCAACCAATAGAAGCAGGATCTATCGATTAATCATATTCATTATATGTTACTTATTATTTTATATGGTATAATAAATAAGCGATTAGTAAAAAAATATTTTTTCTTTTTTATTTATGATCAGTTATTAATTACATCATGGTGAAATAAAAAAAATACATGTGAAAATAAATCGAGAGTTTTACTGTAACTTGTGATACATGCTATGTCATATGATAACCATAAAGACTCTTCTCACTTCTAACCAATTGAAATATGAGATCTACCTACAATATATGATGTGGGTTCAGAAAAAAGAAACAACCTGACGAAAGACTCGGCAAGAATTTTACCAAATATCTTCTGTGCATTTCAGGTGATCGATCCACATGACTGGTCTAAGTTACAATCGTGAACCTGAATTTATTGCTTGAAGTGAAGCAAGTAAGACAATATTCTGTTCCATTCCTATATCATTCGCCATGTAATCCATAATTTCCATGTTTTCCATCACAAATGAGTATGATGAGTACCACGACTGAGCAGATACAAAGTTATAATTATCAATCTCTCTGAAACTATTTCAGAATTTCAAGTATGGGAAGTGCTCTAAGACAAATTTGATAATTGATTCTGGATCGGGTCTGGCTTCAAAAGTGATAGGTCCTTCTTCTTCATATTGCTTGGGAAAAGATGATACTTTGTTTTCTGACATCGAATTTATGACTTCTGATTCATGTACTTCTGATAATTGCCATGGCTCATTGTTAGTTTCTTTTTTATATCTTTTGCATAATTTGAAACGAATCCTATCTGTCAAAACACTTGGTAACCCAGTTAATTTGGCATGTCAATCCAGATAATCAGTGGTTAGTATTTTAACAGACTTGCTCATATTGTCCTTTTCTATGATCACAAATCAATTTAAATTATATAATAGACTAATAGTTGACATAATTAGCCCTAAAAAATATCACACAATGAAGCATGAGCAAATAGAATATATTATAAAATAATGAGATTATGCAACTATCTCAATTTCACGTTGTTCACATTTAATAAAATAGGATCTGACTTCATATCTACCTTTTATACCTTCCTCATTATCATGATCTAACTTGCATAATGAACATGAAGTCTCATCAGTAATTCCATAATAATCAACATTTTCATTACTAAATTCTTTATATAAATTAGGATATTAATTCAATGCTTTGTTGCAAAAATAAGCGTGGTCATAAGTTGGACTATTGGGTTAAGAAATAGGTGGTATCACCTCTACCTTGGTATCAAATTTTTTTGGAACAGATTCATTGGGAACTTGAGATTCAGTAAACGTATCCGAAATGGTGATATGTGATAAGTCAGAATTTTTCTTATCACTTTGTGAACTTGGTTCACAAAATTGTGTCTCTATATGAATGCTATAATCAAAGGGTATATTGTCAATAATATGTTGGATGTCTTCATACGTCATTTTTGAGATAGAATCAGCGAAGAAGGAATGAATTCGCTTTATTTTATCCATACCTATTGCATTAAAAAGTGTATAGAGCTTCTTGGCCTGCTCAATTCTTTTTCATAGAAATGCATCAGAAGTACTAGTAGAAAGCTGAGCTTTAATTTCTATATTGTCACCGTTGTGACATGTTATATATTATTTAGCTATTTGTTGACATGTTTATGCAAAAGACCAGAAAGGTGAGCATAGCGTCATTACCATGAGAAGCTCAACATTTATCTATAATAATGATATTTCTCTCACATGATGATAGTATTTGACAAAGAACAATGATTATTAGAA